GGAGGCAGTATGACCTCTGAAACGTTTGTAAACATCTACCAGACTACACAGCGCAACAACCCAGAAGACAGAAATCTTCATACTCTGATGACGGAGGCAGTATGACCTCTGAAACGTCAGTGGACATCTACGTCTCTTTTTTGGTTTCCTTCTGCTGTATTTTAAAGATGCATTCCTTCGTTTATATCTGTACTCCCTTCGAGATTTGATTTTGTGAGTCACAGCAGCTTTGTGAAAAACTTCATCTGTGCTGAGTTCAAGTATTCGATATTTCTCGTATTGAAAACCCACGTGTTGCATATCTGAGCATCCTTCGAGGGCTTGTGTGCTTAATGTCTCCTTTTAAAATTCCGAAGTTCTGTTTTCAAATACACCAAAATATAATTGAATTCCATGAGTTGTCCAGTACTTTCCCTTCACCGCTTTAATTAGGTTTGTGATGAGTCTTTCTGTTTTAAGTGTCACCTGAAGGTGATTCACATTTACATTTCTCAAGGAGATTATAATTCCGCTCTTTTGCTATCAAGCTGGATTTGTGCACGTGACCGAATCCTTCTCACGTCGTTTTGTGCACTTTTTAAGGATTATTATTATTATTACATCTGTTCACCATTTTACAGGGTATTTACTTCTATGTACCTGAGGAAAACCTTGCCCTTGAGGTATACAGTGCAGCAGCTACTTCTGAAATACATTTTTTTTAATGTGTGATTTGTTTTGCTACAAAATGACACCTCAACCGATTCTGTAAGCTTTCTGATTTAATTTCTAGACACTTTCAAAGTTGTAAAGTCCTTTTAGAATCAACCTGTATAGTTTTATTGTGAGATGACTATATATTTTCATAAGCGTCTTTCGAATTATTATTATTAGTAGTAGTAGTAGCAGCAGTATTATTTGAGAATGACTTCTTAATTAAACACAGGTGTCCGTGAAAGTTGTGGGATATTATATAAAAGTTTCGTACCTTCGCCATGTTTTAATCGTTGACTTATGAACAACGATTTATAAACAGTTACATAATTTATAGATATATTATTCCTAGATCCAGTAACTTATCAGTCGTCGCTGTCAGACTGAAATTAAAGACAAACTTCATATCCCCGCCATGTTGTCCTCTCACGTCCTACAAAACAGTGCCCCGACAACAATTGTATATTCTTCGGTGGTCTATTATCATTTCGTGATGTTTCCAACTCACATGATCGCATAACCGCCATTCTGATATTACTGACTGTAGAAAATTAAAAAGTACGAATTTGGAATGTTCTTTGATCGTAACGAAATTCAAAGTTTGGTGAAATCTGTAATTTGGTTCACAAGCCTATTTTCTTCTCTTGATATAGGAAAGTAGGCTATAATTCAGAGAGTCCAGCGACCCACACTTAGCCGAGCGGAAAACACCTTTTCACTGCCTAGCCAACATTGCTCAGTGTTGCCAGAAAGTGGTGCTTTTTCACGAGGTATAAATATCGAAAGTCGATCGACCCAGTGTTAGAGTTGAATCGAAATTGAACTCGAGAAACAGATGTGTCATTAGAATAATATATTCAAGAAGGTATCATGTAAATTACGATCAAGAAATTGTTTTTATTTCTTTAGAAATGTGAAACGTTTATCTTTGTTTTAAGCCAGAAATTTTGAATTAGAATGTTTACAGATCCATAGAATTATTGGCGATTTAAGCAAAGCATAATCAGGATAAAATTACATCCAACACTCGTCATTGTCATCATCAGTATTTGAACTTCGAGAATAACTTTTTAGACATTGAGCCTTGCAGTTTTTCAGGAGATATCCATATCCCGAGATCTCTCTGGAGTAATATACAGACTTACGTGGATTTTTTTCACATATCTGCGTCATTGTTAAATAAATTACACTTTCCAGTTTCTGTATTTCTTAAATTAGCAAACCAATGTCAGGCTGTGTTATTTACCTTAAAATACCATTGGTTCATTTTCGGATGATTTTGTCTATATTGTGATTGTCATTTATGAGATACTAACACATTTCAGTCCTCTACTAAGTGGCAGAATATAGGCCTATAAGTTATAACCTCTAAGTCACACACGCTACTGTTCTGTAAAGAAAAAATAATTTTAAGCTGGAGGAACACGTTTACTATTCACATAGATAAGTGTTACAGTCTTCTTATTTTTAATTTCTGATTTTTAGAGAGTAAGGTTTTAACCATTAAATGGATGTTTATAAAAAAATTAAATTATACAAAATTGCTAAGAATTTAAACACGTAATATTTGAAGGCAAGTCACATATTTACATGAATGATATTAACTAATTCCCTTTAGCAGACTCAGGTAATCAAGAAATTCCCCGCTGTTTATGGAACCCATAGTTTCATTACAGTGTTTACAATATTCCGCCGTGGGTCCCTATTATAACCGTAAACACTTTCTCATCCTGTCTTGTTAACATCCTTAGGATTCACATGCCATAATTTATAATGTCCAAATTTCCTGGCGTGGGTTTAAATGGAATTTGGTTAATTAGTTTTATAATTAGTCTTAATTCCTAACCACACGATAGACATATAACTGGTAATGTTAATAACAATTACGCGTTTTAAATAGTACATAAACCATGAACAACTGAAATACTGCGTGGACTTAACTGAGGAAATCAGTTTTGGAGATTTGGGTATAAACATTATTATATAATTACTGTAAAACAAATAAGTTACTTAGCTGCGTTTTGACTTGAAGAGTAAAGCAAATTAATGCAAGAATGTGGGTCGCTTGAAAGTTAGGTTAGGTTAGCATTAACAAAATATCCATTAGGCCTTGCGTACTCTTGATGCACACATAACCTCACAACGCTTTTTAGCTTAGCCACCAGTCTGCAACTTCGAGGCACCCCGTGTCGCTACACACTGGTTGCTGAACACTGACTTATGTTAACAATTCGGGATTTGTGGTTCTCACTGCGCTGAGTATGAAGATGGCTGTCATGACTTGTAGCGATAATAATGCTCGTGATGATGGAGGCAGCAAGTACCTCTGAAACGTCGGTAAACTTCTATCAAATTACACAGCATAATTTATAAAATCAATTATTAAAATCAATTAAGAGAGAAGAATAGGTTTAAATAAGAATTATCATGTCTTTTAACAAGGGTGATTTACATAAAAACATTAAAATATAGTACTGTTATGATTAAAATGCAAAGCAGAACTTCTTTATACAGAGTAGTCTTTTATTCCTGTTGATGCCGGTATAAAAATGCCTGTTGCAGAACCAAATTTTGATAAAATCACAGGTGTGAAAAACATTTCTCCCTTAAATCACTGAAAACCTCACGAAAAAATAGGTATTGAGGTTCATTAGGTGATGACCATGCACTCTCCTTTGTCTGTTTCAACTGTCTCATTTCAGTCAATAGACAAAAATGACAAGCCTTGGTGTCAATACACTCAGATAAATGTAATTAACTACTGGCAGATAGATGACATTATAAGTCAATAAGTGTAGCCTTAAGAACTACTTTTTGTGCATAATTTAATTTATTATATTCTACCATTTCTTGAGATGTGTCTGTTCTAACCTCACAATTTCATACTATTGCCATGTTTATAATTTTCAACATAAAGAAAGCTTTCATATAGCATTCTTGCATGTTTATGATCTACTGCTTTTCCTATATAAAACTTCATTTGCCTAGTTACAGTTCTTTATTTACTTATTGTTATCAAATTTAATTACAAATATAAATTTTACATGGATGTCATCCAATGTTTTACTATCTAATTTGCTGTCAAGATGAAAAGTTACTGATTTTTATATGAGGTGGTATATGTATTTACCACTGGGCTTTAAAGGGCCTATAAGATATGTGGGCAGTTAATAGTTCTTAGTAAATCCAGAAGGTTCTGGTAAAATTAATGTTTGCACAGATTTTAATTTACATAATCCATGTGAAGAAACCTATTTTCGTGATAAATCTAATATAGACATGTAACTGCTTAAGCTAAGTATTGCCAGTGTTCGTATAATTTTAACATGTTAATTCAATCCATAGTTAATTTTAGATTTTTTTTATTTTTCGCTGTTGTTTTTCATTAAAATTCTCAATCAGCTTAGGACCATGAACAACATTACATTCAATTAAGTTTATCGTCTGTTTCAGCCTTATCGCACGACACCCCTCGTCCTGCCAGGGGCTAAAGTTAAAAAGGACGCTACGCTCACATCCTCATATTTACGTCATCATCCGAATCCAATGTTCAGAGCACCTCCATCTCATCATGACACAACAGCTGAAGTGCTTATGAAACAAAAGGTAAGTTTTATTTATACATATTGACATTTTATGAAATGACATTTCAAGAGTGAGTAACAGGTGGGTGGAGAAAATTACATAATAAGAAGCTTCATAATTTGTGTTCCTCGAGAAATATTGTTATGGTGATAAAATCAAGGAGGGTGTGATGGGTGGGGCATATACTCGTACCAAGCTACTATAGACAAAAGTGCTTCATGTCCAACAAATCGACCAGGTCAGTATATTTCAAGCTTCAGTTAATAATACCTTGAAACTTCATTGTTTATACAAATTTTTGTGAAGAAATACAAGAAAAATTGTAAATTTTGTCATGAAACACTTGTCAGTTCACAAATTGAAAAAAATTACAGAAATCATAGTACAAATCAGACAGTGAAAAACATAAAATACTGTTTTGAATGGAAATGTTCTACATAATTTTTATGTAGTGACATGTTGCAAATAGAAGCTAATTTTCTTCTTATTGGTTCATTCCTGATGCTACAAGATGCACAAGACCATGAAGTGCCTACTGCAGGCATATGCTTAGTAACATTACTGAACTGAATATAAAATAAGTAAACAAACAACTATTAACACTATAAAAAGACACTAGTGCCATACGCGTTTCAACCTCAAGAGGTCATCATCAGTGGCATCAAGGAAATTAATTCATTTAATCAAATAGTTTAAACTGGATTTAGAAATAAATAAGGTAATTTCCATTAAATAATTTCTTAAAGTAATAAAATGCTATGGCAAATTAATTATAAAGGTACTGTTGTATTAGGAAATAAATTAAGAATGCAGTTATCAAAATATTTATTTGATGTTGCTACAACTGAAACTCTTAAAGCAGGTTAAAGTGAGACGTTCAACAAAATAATTATGTCACGTGTTGCAAAATTGCATTATTTTGCCGTAATTTTGAAGTTTGCAATTTTGTGATGCTGGGTGTAGTTAGTCCTTTAAATGCTGTTTTAAAGACCTGACATCTATAATTTGATATCCAGAATCCATGAGTTTCAACCACAGGATTTGGTCACGTCTGAACATGAACTTCATGTGGCCACACGGTGAATCTGACCTGGAGAGGAATATCTTGTAAATGAAGTGGTAGTTGTCCTGAAGGAACTGCGAATAGTAGTCTTCTGTTAAATGTCACTGAAGAATGAATGGCCCAATTAGTTAGTCGTCAGTAAGATTGCACCTCATGTTTACCAGAAATCAATAACTACATAATGGTTATGAATCATCTGGGGGATTGATAATGGCCCCATTAGTGGCCCAGTTTCATAGACATAGTCTCGTTCCACTACAACAAAAATATTCTTCATTCAAAATAAGCTAATAAATAACTACTGAGTGTTTGGCGGACATTTTATGGAATAACTTGTATATATGTCAGCCAACTCGGGTAAAATAGGTACATCTATACTTATATTATTAACAGCACACTGATTGCAGTTATTCTAAAGGCTGTGAAATTTAGGAATGAACTCTGCATTACACAACATTCCAAAATTTAGAATTAGTATTCTTTACTTAAAAAAGAGATGTGAATGAAGTAAAGGATATTCTGGGGTTTTCACAGTGGTGAAAATTTAGATTGTGTTTACCAACATTTCAGAGGGCCCTATTGCCCTCATCGCCGGTCACAGTGGTTGTGTGGTCTGAGGCGTGGGCCTCGTGCCGCTCGGACACTGGGACCGTGGGTTCGAATCCCACTCAAGGCATGGATGTTTGTCCGCGTCTTTCTGTGTCGCGCTATCCTGTGTACAGGCAGAGGCCTTGCTACGGGCTGATCACTTGTCCGAAGAGTCCTACCAAATGTCTAAATGGATTACATAACCTCCAAAAAGAGGCAGCCAAGACCCACACTGGGTGTAGAGCCACAGATTATGAGATGATATTACCCTCATCTTCAGTGATGAGGCTGTGCAGTCTTGTAGATTATCAACATTTCAGAGAAATATACTGCCTCCATCTTCAGGATACTTCTATCCTGAGGATGGTAACATTGACAACCACCTGCAAGATGATGCAGCATCCTAACTAATAAGATCAGAATCCAAAGTAAAGAGAAGACTGACCTACAGAAACAATTAGGATATTTAGTGTGTTACGTCTTGAAACTATTGCGGGGATTGTTACCATGTTCTGCAGGTTGCAGACACTGTACTTCAGAGAGTTGCAGGTGAAGACGCAATGGCTGGGAAACAGGTTTGTTAATGGAAGAAGCAATGTGTGGTTTGCATTGGTGAAATTTTGGTGTATGTTTCTGTGCCTGAAGGTGAAAAGCTATCCACTGAACGATAGACTTATGACAGTTGTCAAGAGTGTGAAAGCAGAAAACAAGAAATGACAAGGCTTAATGAGTAAACCATGCTGAACTGCATGACAGAATGCTGAATGACGTTAAACATCCACAGACTCTTCTTTCCATGTTTTACTGGTAAATTCTTGTAGAGCCATATTCTGTAAATTTTATAAGTTAAATAAGTAAAAAATTGCAGATACCTGTTAAGTTTTATCATATGGTATAAACTGATCTTATAATTTTATTTTTGAAGATTGTAGTCTTTAAATCTTGCAAGCAAAGGGATCAGTAAAATTGTAGCTTTTCCCTTTTGGTTTACATTGGATTTGATTACAAAAGACCTATGTTAATTTTTAAATAAAGTTTGTTACTTTATAGTACATTTTTATTATAAATATAGAAGTTATAAAACACTATCTTCAAAAACACAAACCTTTCTCTTTTCTTCAATTCTAAATACATTGATGACAGCTTCACTTTATGATAATTGTTCTGACAAATATTTTCATTAAATCTGTATACTTGGAACTATGTTCTGTTGATGTAATTCCTTAATTTACCTTTCTTAATTGGAGTGACTAATCTGCAGAGCAATTTTTATTTTTTCTGAAGACTTATGCACTGATTAGTATAATGATAATATTAAATCTTATAACATATTTCACACTGTAAGACTTCATAATGCAAGGGAAAATCACATTCTTGTCAAACTGTTTACAGTGCAAATTGTCAACCAAATCATAACTGTGACCAAAGCCAAGATAATTTTCACAACTTTTAAAGCTAGTCCTCAAGGTACCCACTTCCTGATCTACACCGGTATTCTGCAAAATCTGTCAGATACATCTTGGTTTAGCGTAACTTATACAGCATTAACAAGTCTCAACTTCAAGTAAATCTTTCGTAATGTGCCATTCAGAAATGGTCCATTCTTGTCTGAAATATAGGCTAACAGATGGTGACAGCACTTCAGCATTTTCCATATATTTCTGATGTCAATGCACCAATGTCATCTTTTGGATAACTTTCTGATCGCTGCAGTAAACAGTCTTTTGGGATAGTGTGCGACTTACACACACTGCTTTGAAAGTGTTGTCAAGGAATCCTTCATCCTGTCAAACAGGTGAAGCCAGTCTACCATCAGGATGCCATCCATATTCCACAAGACCATAGCCATTTGCTCACCAGCACCAGTTCTTAGCCCAAAATTTTTAGACAGCTCTTGTTAGTACTTTTGATTTAGTATGTTGTTTAGAATCTAGTGACACAGAAATTTATATAGGAATGACACTTCAAAACACTGGCAGTGTTCATCGGTTTTGTCATGACGACATCTTTTTTCAATCTTGTCATAGATTTTATGTAATATTCATTCTTATTATATGCATCAACGTCAGACGCAATACCAACCAAATTAAAATAAACTAAATTAGCCTAAAATAATCTATCTCACCTTAACATTCCATTGAATTTGGATTTACTGGAGAGATAAAAATATGTCCAAGCACAAGATAAATAATTGTTTTAATTTTGCTAGCGTACCTACTGCTAGATAAGCATATGCAGCTAGTTCCGGTTTGAGAAACATACTACACAATGTTTATTATTTATTTTCTTTCTTATGTTGGTTCTTAAGTCATATAACATCACTTTGTTGGAAAATAGAATGTCCTCTTGTTCTTCGAAGCAACTGAGTCCACTCAAGATATGCTTTTTTCTGGAATAGACACTGTTTCTTTATTCACACCTCCTTCTCTTTCAATTGAACAACATTGTGCCTGCCAGATAATTTCACTGTCAGTACCTACCTGATAAGTAAGCGCTGCACAGACACTATGAAGCAATAGTGTAATTACAAACCTACTGCGGATTACTTTCTAATTCTGTCTTCATGCTACAATTTGAAGACTAACTCAGCTATAGTAAACTGTTCCAAGTCAGGACAGAGACTTATGTTTCCTTAATTTTCTTAATTTCCCCCCCCCCCCCATTATTCACTTACAGTACCTGTAATTGTTTTTATGATATCCAGTGCTCTTGGTATTTCATATAAGGCATTGGCTTCTTTCAGTACTCCTTTATAAGTACATTTTACAGGCCAGTGGTATTTGGTGGTATAATACTTTAGTTTTTCAATGGTTTTTTATTGCATTTTCATAAATTACATATGGAGGAATGAGACACAAATTTTTGAATTACAGTTGACATTCCTAACAGTCATAACAGAAAATTCACACATATTTCACTTGTTTATATGGGTGAGTGCATGAGCATGTAAAATTTGTTTGAATTTCACTATATTACTCCTATTCCTCTAAATAGAACTTTCTCCTTTATTTTTATTCCTGCAAAGAATGCTTGTATCTTCAGAGAGTTTAATATTACAAGAAATTTGGGACTGAAGTGTTACTCCCTTAAGTATGATACATGAATAAATATTCATGTTAATGGTTCGTGTTGAATGCACAAGAATGTTCTTGTTAAACTTCAGATAAGTGTTTTGTAATGATTTAAAATAATTTCATTTCAGGTGGTGCATAAACAGTTCAATTCACCAATTGGATTATATTCTGATCACAACATTACTGAGACAATTCAGTCACAAACAGGAATTACACCGTAAGTTTACAAAAAGAATATTATGTGAATTATTGTAATGGAAAATTCCTTGTCCAGTAAGGGATTCTGAAATGTGTATTTGGCCCTCCATTAATTTCAGTTAGGTAATAATTGTTCTTTAAAAAAAGATTACCTTTAATTTGAGTATTTTTAATCCATCCAATTTTGGTTTGCAAAATCCTAGGAACAATGCAAGAGTAGGAACTTCAACGCTGAATCCACGAAATCAAAGCAAAGTGAGGCAAGTAAAAAAACTGGAACAAATTACAGAATGTAGCGACTTCTTTCTGCTCACTGCCTTCTTACATAAGCTCAGTGTTGCAAAGTACACTACAGTAATGGTCCAGTGTAACATTATTTCTAAATTTACTATTATAAAAGGAGGTTGCTTTTAGACAGTAACGACAAACACTCTTTTGGTTGGCAGAAATTCTGCTAAAATCCCATGTGTATTTAGTCTGAACCAACAATGAAAATTGGTATAGAAACTTTCACATTTAAGTGAATTATGTACAGAAATCTTGATTACTATGTGAAAATTTATTATTTACATGGACACACGGACATTAATTTAACAGCCATAATTGACATTCCATGCTTTACTTTTGAATTTGGAATCTCCTTCAGTTGATATAAGTAAAATATATATTTTAACATGGAACAAATACAAGCAGGCATAACTGATATATATATGTATATATATATATTACTATATAGCATGTAACAAAACATGAGTTGTGCTGCATAAATATGATTTTCATATAAGCATTAAGTCATATGTATTTTCGGTTCCTATTAGATAACATTATACAGCATAGTTTATGGTTCAATGCATACTATAATGTACTATGTCATGCCTTAACTTTCAAATTACATATATCAGTTTTACATTTCATCGAGGTTTTCAAACGAACATTCATTTTCAAGAGATGGTCCAATTAACAAAGTAACTTCCTTTTATGATATGTTTCATTTTGTGATTGAAACATTTTGCTTCATACAATTAAAAAGACTGAACTGCAACACGAATTATGCATGACAAAAAACTGCATGGTTCTTTCACTGATATGCAAATATCAAATTATTGCATTTAAAATTTTTACCATATCAGGTGCTGATGCTTTGTTTATAAAAATACTTGTAAGGTAGCTTACATTCTTTAGCATAAGGTTCTAAATTCTGTGTTTGAAGTCATAAGAACTAATTTATTTTTATGCACGATTTACTACATGGCACAGTGATTGAATTAACATTTGCAAAATAGTAAATATAAAACTTACAGATTGCTCTATGCATATTTGACTGCATGGTCTACTGAAATTCAGACAGATAAGTTGGTATAATTAACAACTGTAAAATAGAAAATGGCGCTGTATATATGGAAAATTAATTGCTTAACACTTAATAATACGCTTTAAATGTCAGATGTTGATTTACATATTTAGAGGGAATGTGAATATATTATTAATCAGTATTCTATTTATTGCAGAGTTCAACAATTTCTTTGCTATTAGTCTTGCAAAAAATGGTTGATCAATTAATGGGTTTAAAGTTGACATATTTGAGTATGTTATTTACTACTGTCAGAACAACAATTTAAAATCAAATTAAAAACATTTAAAGCTGTCTTAGCCTAAATTATGGTATATAAATTTCCTGCACATCAGATTCAATCATGAAGAATACCACCAGAACACAAGTTATCTGACTTAAGATACTCATTCTTTTAGCACCATAACTCGATCATCAAGGTCTCATTCATGGAAGAGAATGCACAGTAGAAGGTGAAATTGGTATTAAAAAAACAATACACTCTAAGAAACACTTCTTTACAAAATTAAATTTCAATGTCTATTAAGTCTTCAAAATTTTCATCAGTATTTTTATAAGAAAGTATGAAGTCCATCAAAAGTTTCTTTATCAAAATTATTTCAATTATTGTATAACATCTATACTTATATGTACTAAAATATGTATGTAAATGTTGCACATTATCACATTAAGTACTATATTTATTTCCACAGTATGTCTAGTACTTACAAGCTTAACGTTCTGAAGTTATTCATGATCAGAGCGTTGCTTAACATATAAGTAGTTTTTATACTCAATAAATTAGCCTGCTGTTTATTTCCACTTTATGAAACAAAAAAGAATGTCAGACAGACTGAGGAGCTCTGAGCTTAATAGATGATAATTCAACTGTCATATCTTTGAGAATGCTGATTAAAAACAAAATACGTTTAAGACTGAATTGTGGAACATATTATCCCTCCAAATTTACAAGGAATTCTAAATATCACTTTTAAATAAATACAATTCCTTCTTAATTTGAACCCAAACAAAAAGAATGTGTGAAGTGGAGCAATATTATATTATTATACTTACTGTGTTTAAAGTTTAAAGAAATTGATTGGACTCTGTTCTTTTGTATATATTGGTAGGTATGCACATGTTAAATAAATGAAACATATATTATTATATTTATTGTGTTTAAGGATTTAAATTGACAGAGTAATTAAATTCTGTTGTGGATATTTTATATGAGATATTAAATTTTTGATTAACAATTTAGTACATATACAATAGACTTTATGTCAAACAGAACAGTTTCTGCATTTCTAATGGTAGTATTTTCATTGATCTTTCTTTCCTAAAACAAAAAATACAAATACAACAACAACACGGACAACATGGACAATCTCCGCATTCCCGCCAATATTGATTACTATTGACGTCACTATCACAAACTGTGGTTCCCTAACTATTTTATTCACGACATAAATGAATTTTAAATTTGTATCTTGTTTCAAATTGACTTGATCGTTCTCAATTTGTTAATATTTTGTAACAACTAACTATATAATTCAAAATTATCATAATAAATCAAAATTGTAATGACTAACTAACAAATAATGATTGTGACACGACTTACTTTTCCTTTAAACTTAAATGAATACTGACTGAAACTTATAACAAAATTGATTTTTCATTAATAATTTCTTATTTGCTGTTTCCTATATCTTGACATCACCCAAACTTATATTAACTACTAATTTCACAAAAAAATAACACACAGCTTGAGGAAGACACTTAGCTATGACCCAGCCAAATCAGAGACCTTCAAAGCACTTCAGGAAGCAGAGCTAGGTGACACAGTCCAAGAGGTGACAGTTCCAGCTCAAACCAGAGTGTTTTCACCAAGTGCACAACTCAAGGTAATGTATAAATTCACTCGTTATAACTACAAGTGTGATACAAATTAGATAACTTTTCAAACTAACATAATTCACTACATTTACAGATAATGGAGCACAGATAAGCTCATTTTGATGTTATAAATTCACTACACTGAATGGATGAGTCCCAAATGCCATAGAATTTTATTATTTATAAAAAAATTACCACGGCATAGTTTGCATTACCTTCTCGAATGAAAATTTTATATACTTACTTTAAGTAAATCTTTGAAAATCACACAACATTTTTAGTTGATAATGTTGTGGGTTGTGATGATATGTAGTCAGTGGTTTGGAGGAACTTGCTGCCTCCATTATTCAGGATAGAAGATGAAGGTGGTGGCAAGTGTCACAACTCAGAAGATCACTGCCATGAAGAACTCAAATTGCACTGACAAAACACTGTTAAGTAATGAACGAAGCAATTAATAATATAATGAAAATATAATTTATTAAACTACAGCAGTTGGCATCTGTCTGCAAGCTTGGACTTCACTACATGCTATTTCAGATAAGGTAAATAATTCCTTGTCTGAATGTACCAGGCCATGCACGCCATCATTTTGAGTTGGCATCAAAGGCTGATTACTGCAGGCCCTTTCCCCTTACTGACACTCACTCACCAAATACATAACTTTCCAGTTGCTGTAAAATACTTATAATGTAGACAATATTTTAAATTAAATACAAATTATGTCTAGTTATTGATCATCCAAAAGTTTATATAGACTTAAGAGATATGCAGTTTTCATGTGTAAAAATTTAGGCCATGGGCTTATTTTGAGTGAAATTGTTGAATCAGAAAGAGAGAACACTTAAAGAATTATTTTACTCATATTTAATGTGCACTGTGTTATAAGTTACATACTTAAGTGGCTTGCTTTTTGAAATTACCTCCTGCATCAGTTATGCACAAATGAGCTTGTTTTAAAATAACATGTATTTTTTTCTATATGCATTCATAATTACATAATACTCCCTCACATTTGAGAGCTTGCACATGGCAGTGGTAAGTTCACAAATCTCTTTTATATAAAGTCTGCCACATTTTCATTTGAGATATGTGCATTTTACAGATGATTCAGGTGCACACTTGCTCTCAGACTGCATTGGACCATTTGCAGTATCTCTTTCTGCTCATAAATGCATTTTTGTTTGTCAGTCTCCTTAGTATTTGTGGTGAATGATCACGTCTCACAAATGCTGATGTACGCAACTCAGTACAGCTCTGATTGGGTGACAACAGTTGGGAAACAAGCGTATATATTCCATAAGTGTTGCCCGTGCATTCTCATCGCAGAATGCATAGATTTGTGCATACTTTTAATTTGTGAATTGTGTTTTCATCATCATTCATAACACAGGCACTTCATGAACAAGGCATTCATTCCTTAATGATCGAATACAAACTATCTACGATGGGTAGTTGGTATAATCTGTGCTTCCTAAAGTGGTCGATGTGTACACATGACATGGACAAGTCCAATTTCATTCAGAACTGTGAAAAGTAGTGACTATTAATTTAAAGATAAGTATAGGAATGCTCTGAAAGAATGGTGGGACCTAAGGATAGAAAGATGATGATGATAATAAACTCATCAGATAGTAACATAATGGTTGAGATATTGACTAATGTTGTTTTTAATTTTTCTACTCAAAATATGCCAACAAATAACCTCCTGTTATTTAGATGTTTCATAGGACACTCTGTATGCACAGAGTGGTTCTTAATAACATTAAATAAATTTAGTAGTCATAAATCCATAAAATGAAGCTAAAAAGTTCCTATAAATGTATGGTCACAAACACATTGTTAGCCAAAATTAAAAAAAAAACAATAAGAAATCAACAGATAAATATAGCATATTTTAGCAGCACATTTACATAACCGGTTTCAACATATGAGCATTTAATGTTTACCAAAGTTGCTGAAAATGCTCTCTGTTGGTTTGAATGTATAACTGAGCCCTGTAATATCAATAATTCTGTTATGTTAAAATAATTCAGACATATGTCATATTGTTGTCACAGCCACTTGAATCAAATGCCAATGCTGTATGTTGACTCACTTTTTTTGAGTAAATTCTGCCCTTCAGATAACCTCACAGGTAGACGTTGGCAGATGTAAAATCAGACAATGGTGGAGGCCACAAAACAAGTTCATTTAATTCTATCCATTGAGTTATGTAGTGAGAGTCCAGAAACTGGGTTATGTCACTTGTAAAATGAGCAGGACATCCATTGTTTATGGCATTCAGCATGCACCAGATCAATATTGAAAAGAGACAAAGATCACCTTGTTTTAGAAGAGCTTTAAAACATAACTATAATCATGCTCCATAAATTTATTTTGTCCATTTTATTTGACTTCAAGAACTTTTTTTAAGGCTGAAGGTGCAGTTTTTATTGTTACAAATAGCATGACCCAAGCCATTAATACATTTTCATATGTGAATTTTTATTTCCTTTAGAGAGCACCTGGCCCTCAACCATACCACCATGTAAGTAACAAAAATATTTTACTTAATATACAACTGACATTTACAATTTATTTATTAAATGACAACATATTTTAGTATTAAATTGTTTGCCTATTGTAATTTCTTTCAAACTATCAGCTCGGTGACTAAACAAACCAAGAGACATTAGGTTATATAAATCAGGTATTTCCATGTGTCTGTGATAACAAATCTCCAGGTAAATCTTTTATTTTGTGACACTTGTTCTAAAACATATTAAAATATCTCTCATAAATCTGAATTATTGCAAGAAAGGGAAGGAAAAGGCTAGAGACTCAGAAAAGTCACCTCCTTTTCTTGCTTAATTAATATGAACTCCTATAAATCTTATTAAATTAAGTAGGATTTCAGATTTTCATGGCAGTGAGTCCAAAGATGGTTGTCTTCTGGATTGTAGTGCCATCTAGTCTGCCAAATCTTACATAGTATAATTTTATTAAATTACATTATTAAACCTATTAAAATGCAAGCTAGATTAAAGCAGGGAGTGAACTGAAGAATAGTTCTATCACATTTTGCCTACTACATTGAAGACTGTTGTATGTACAGAAAAAATTTCATTGCTGGTCAAAATTCAATCAGAATGTGGAAAGAACAATAGCAGCTGAGATTATGAAACTCGTTTCTGCATGTCCAAGAATTTGGAGAATGTACCAGCAAAAGAATCACAATGAAGACTGGGAACTTTATATTAATATAACATCCATATTTAAATGCTTTGCTTCTGTTAGTTGAATTATTTTTACATTTCATCACATTCTATTTCCATATTATAACTGATTAGGTATTCATAGAGATTTTAGTTCTTTTTAGTTCACACAGTTTCAATTTAACTGATATTGCTCTGCTCAATCTCAGTAAAGTTACATGAATTCATCAGAAAAGTCCTGACATATTTTCTTTATGATGTACTTAACATAAACACAAGAAATATTTTAAACATATTGAAACATAACATTCAAGTAGTCAACATTAAGTCAGGGAGGACTGGATTAAGATCTGACTTGTCTGGTCTCCCAATTCAAGGGACTAGATTTTGAACATTTGCTGGATAGGTAATGTCCTCCAGCAACATAAAGTTGGCAGTTTTAAATTTCAGTGCTGAAGTCACTGGGGGAGGATGAAATTTTCCCACTTCTCTTACAAGAGGCAATCATTGATGTAGTGGTGAAGTACTTCGAGCTTGCATTGCTCTTGGATATGTTCGATTATCCTATGAAGGGCAGTCAGATTTGGTGTTATAACTAAGCCAGGGCATATGAGTTATTATCAAGTGAAATCCTTTTGTCTTATTAGTATAACCTCCTTTCTGTTACAAACACTTAAGAGTGTCGTGAACTGATATATTAGAGTTGATCCTTGTTAGAATATACGCTGCAGTACCATGAACAACATGCATAAACACTTGGAGATCCATAGAGATGGTTCTCCACAGTCTTATGGGCCTATTATTCTGGGAAATTTTTGGACTTCAAGGACGCATTTGACAACACCATCTCTTTGAGTCTAGTGCAAGGCAGCATAAGGGAATGGGTTGGAGTGAATTGTGGTAAGAGAGAACTGGACCATGCTTGAAAGCTGGTATAGTGTGATGGCCAAAATAGGCTGCACATTGAGGGTGTATGTTGGTCAGGGTGTCTGAAGGGTGAGATCCTCTGCCCACTACTATGAAACCTGGTGGTGGATGGGATTCTGGTTCAATAAACAAGAGTCTGCACACACAAGGCTATGCTGATAACTTGGCCTTGTTCATAACTGGGAAATTCCCAAGCACTGTTTTAGACCTCATGTAAATTTCTTTAAACATTGTACACTGTGCAGGGATGAGGAGTCTTCTGTCAGTCCTGATAAGACAGAAAATGTGCCTTCACCAAGAGGAAAAAGTTGATGGATTTGTAAAACCTCCTACACTAAATTGTCTATATAATATCTGGGGGTTATTCTAGATGTTACACTTACATGGAGGGAGTATGTGAAACAAAGGATCGGTAAAGCCCCTCTTACTTTTGGTTATGTTGTCAGGCCTTTAACAGATCTGGAGTCTTAAACCAGAAGAGGTACATTGGCTTTATACAGGTGTAGTAAGGCTTAAGCTTATGTATGTGGCAGTTATGAGGTGGCCAAGAACTCATCTTGCCATGGCACAGGCTGATTCTACAGCCTCTGCTCACAGGCTCAGAGGTATAAGTCTCTGATCTGATATGAATTTGGATGTAGTTCATTCCCAGATCCTTGCCCAACTAATGAAGGCAGAATATAACATAAAATGATTACTTTTGGGATGCCTTTTGAAGTGGATAACCTGTCACACAAACACTGGTTATCGACCTGGTTTATAACCCTTCATTCTAAAGTGTTAGTCCAATATATGGACAGGTCCAGGATGGCTGGCATGTCTGGGGCAAGTCTACATGAGCTGAATCCAGGGAAGAGGTTATCCTATCAGTGCCCAGCATTGGCTGGGCATAAATTAGAGGTCTTTGGCTTTGCATGGCTGTAGCCAACAGATATTAAGATGGCCTCATTTAGGTTGGTTCTGGTTCTATCAGTGCAATCAGGGCTTTCTGAAAGGCCCTAACAAGACAGGGTGTACAGTGCACCCAGCTGAGTACCTGGGGGAACTGTAATTGCAATCACTTAATCCCTACCACAAGCTTTGGCTAATTGATTCTCTGTTCTCACATTCTTCAAGTAACTCCGGCTTTTGAATTACTGTCAGTATAATTTTCTTGCAATTTTCAGCCGTCTTACTTATGATCAATCAGTGTGAGCAATCACTGTCACCTAACAGACACACAGTACACTTAAGGGAATTGACTGTAAGACACTAATGTTTGAAAAAGACCAAGCACACCTGTAGCTTCCATTTTGTCCACCACCATGACCTGAACAAATCTTCCTACGACACCACCAATACCGAGTAAAACACCAGGAAAATGTATTGTTAATCTTCCTAAAACCACCCTGCTCCATCACCCTAAGCAGAAGTGAAAAGATGTCAAAAGCATGATTCTCACGAGGCTGTGTTTATGAAAAGAGAAAGATGTGTAAGGATAACCTATAAACCAGATAGTTCACACACACTTACTGATTTTCTAGATATTGTAATTTTAAAAGATCCCAAATTATATCAAAACCAGTGGAAGGTAATCATTCATCTCATAATTGAAAATACCTCTTATTGTAAAAACTTCTATAGAACTAGGGAAGAACTCAAATACCCACCATATACATATTATATGATTAAGATTGAAGTTCTTGTCACAATAATTTATAATTAAATTAAATTCTTTTTCATTTCAGAAAGCTGCAGGTGGAACCACTTATACTGTAAGTATTTATATTGATGATTCTTACACAGTTTTTATTTTACTTTCTCAGTTCTTATAATTTTTAAGCTTTTCATTTAAGGTGATTACGGTCTTGCAACATTTCCATGCATACAAAAGTATCTAGTTGTGGTTCTAGTAAAACCACCAGTACCCCAAAGTTCAAGATTTTTCAGTATATATGTTTACCCAATGCAGTTCAAGAGATATTGTCTATGTACGCAAACATACTTTTACATATTTCTAGATGTTCTGACTTTTTATAATTCACATATGAGACTTGATTTCGACAAATATGTCCTAAAATTCACTGAACAGTAAGTAGCCTTTCATTTCAGTGATTCTCTAGTGCTCAAGCAACTTCTTTCATCAAATGACACATTTATGTACATCTTGTACAATAAGTAAACAAAAACTAGTATTTACTCTTAGTGTAAACATATAGGTCTTCAAAATCCTCCATTTGCAGGCAGAAACTTGACTTTGTATATTTTACACAGAGGAAAAATTTATAATTTAAAAATATTCAAAATGGATATTATAGAAAGGAAGGATCTTAGACACGTGGGTGATATAAAATGGTACCACACTTCTTTTTCACAGTGGAATCTTGTAATAATTAATATTATCTGAGTGAAACTTGGTTATGGAGTGACATTATGATGTGGTCACTGGTAGTAGATTTAGGAAATGTTTACTTAATAATGTTAAATACCCTGTGCTTAAGCATTAATTATTCAAAGCATATTGTAATCTGGTAGATGTTTACAAAAGTTTCAGAGGTGCTTGCTGCTTCCATCATCAGAGTGATAAGGTAGCAAGCACCTCTGGAACATCAGTAAACCTCTGCCAGATTACGTCATTAAGAAGATAGTCATCTTTATACTCACTACTGTGATAACCTGAAATCTCACTGAACCACTTTGTACTGATGACATACAACAGAATTATTATCTAGTTTGCCACATGGAGAATTTGGCAGTGAGAATTAAATGTCTGGTGCTGACATCTCCCATTAATATGACTGGAACCTTTGCTTTCTCTACTATTCAATTTTCGTGGAATTGTGTACTGCAGAATATGCATAATAAAATGAAAACTTTGATCATTTCAGAAATGAGACAGACAAAACAATGAGGACTGTTTCATGAAAGTGATTTTGGAATTGATCTTTTAAACAGGCTCGCACGTTGTTATGCCTGGTAATTACCAAATGTAAAGAAATGCAAACTTCAGTATTTGAGAAAAGTATAATTAAAGGTTGTTAATAGATATTTGTAGGTACTTCTAGAAATAATAGAACATTCTGTTCCAGGATATGACATAGAACATATAATTTGTCAGAAATAACTGTGGAGTTTTTTAAACTGAGGGGAACATAGGGAAGGAGAAAATGATTCAAATATGCAGTAGTGGTTTTCATTCAGAAGATAAAAGACCTAACAGTGTGGTTGAGTGGTTATCGCTCCTGCTTCTTGTTCAAGAGGTTCCAGATTCAAGTCCAGATACCTACATTTCTGATGTTTACGTTTCTCCTCAGTCACACCATGCAAATGTCAGGATGGGTTCTTAAATTAGACAATGACCACTTCTTTCCATGTCCTTTCCTTAATGGTCCTGCATTCAATGCTATGTTATATGACTCGTTGACAGCATCATTAAATGAACTGCAGGTAAATACAATACAAGAATGAAATGTCCAACTCCCCGTCATTTACAATTTCCCTGCGCATAACCATGACTAGTATATTATGTTAACTCTTCGTTATTAATGCAACTACACTGCTTAAAATTATAACTGTCATCTCTAACTTCTTGCTTTCAGATAAATTCAATTGGTAATTCTGACGAATATATTCACCAAAGTGGAAGTTTCAAACGCTTAATGAATCAAGTTCTGGGTGAGTCTGAATACTAAAGGAAACACTGCATATTATACAATTAAATGCATGGTATGACTGTTTCATAACTGTATACAAACACTGAAGGTAATGTGCCATAGATTAATTTTAAATGTGCTGTATTATTGTGAAAATGTCTCTGTCTATTATTTCTTCAAACCAATGTGTTCATAATGGAAATAAAATTATTTTGTTTTATTCACAGTAGGTTAGATTCATAACTGGTGTCCTTTCTCGTTGACTTATTTATGACTGTCTCAAGTTGCTATTTTGTCCACATATTGCTAATTGTTATTTCTTATTGATTACCTGAAACAAGGAGTGAAAATTCATATAGATGTAACAATTCACGTTATTTCTACCATGAAGAATTCACTGAGTGTAATATCTAGTCAGTAAAAGCTTTTTTAAGCAATTGGTGCATATATTCATAGTGTATGCTGATAATTAAAAGTTGTCAGATAAACTTCAATGTGTTTCAGTTACTGTATATGCTTTGTAACTATCAAGTATTTATGAATGAATATTTTAAATGCTTTCTTTCTTAAAACATAAAAAATAAAAAAACTGTGTTTATATTAACCACCTACGTATGTATGAATGATTATTTTGATTTGTAAGATACTGTTCTGAATATGTGCCAAGCAGGGAAAATTGTAAAAAAAAAGTTTTAGAAAGGAGTGTTATTTTGCTTTTTCAAAATTGCAGCAATGTAAAATTAAAATCTATAGAAAATAACCCGTTTATTGTCATTAATAAAGATATCTTCTTGCTCTGACATTGAAGTACCAGCTGAATTCTCACAAAACTTCACCAAACCATAATTTGGTGAATTGTATAGCTGTTTTAGTAAATGCTTCATTATAACAAACAACATGAGTTCTTACTTCCAGATTCAACCCTGTAATTAGCACTGAGACATGCTAGGTTGCTAATCTGTACCTTTATATGAAGCAGAGAGCTGAAAATGTAACACTTCATATATCACCTTCAATTTCAAAAAATAATCAAAGTGAGATTTGTTTTGTTTGTAACTCATAGTTTATTGTCTTCAGTAAACTGATTCCAGTTTCCTTAACTCTGTGACAATCTCACTGATGATATAGCAATCAGAATAGCTGATCATATCAGACATATCATTGTCACAAGATAAATGATACACAATTTAACATTTGGAATATAATGACCACTCTTGCAAATAAACATGAACTGTTCAGTTAAACAAATGCTGATAAAAAAGTTTTCTTAAATGAACTTCATCATAATTCATGCTGTTGCTATTGGTTTCCTCACTTTTGTTTATAAAGTTCATTTGTCAACCTCTACTCCATTTCAATTTTACACTGTACTGAATTTATGGCTAAGAAAATATAAGCATTCATGTTTTATTGTGTTCATTGCCCTTTGTCATTATTAGGTGTTCTTCGTACTTTAGTGTAAGTGAATAATGCCTTACGGGCCTATCCATGTTTCTGTCTGTTGGGTCTTCCATCATTTGTTGTAAAAGTTGCCTTTGACATCATTGTCACATTTGTTATTCCACTGATTGCCCTGCTGGTGTCATTGCTGGTGATGTAGTGTAAAAACATCTTTGGAATCTTAACGTACTCCAAACATTACATATTTTCAAACTTGTTCTTGGAATAGTCATTATTTTTCAACCTTATGCAGGTGTATTTAATTACCTTTATCTGTTTTGTACACACTCTCAAGTTAGATGGCAAACAGTACTCTGAAAGGTGTGAATGTGCACTTGGAACACATGTACATCACATGCAGTAAAGTGAATATAAAATATAGCAAATACAGTCCACTAGTTGCTTTTTGTGTGGTTGAATGTGACGATAGACGCTAATTTTAATAAGCTACCCTACAATTCATCTGTATACACGAGCAGAAAACCAAACCAAATGTACAATAAACGTATGGAAAGCGTATGTCAGTGTCGTCCTTCTAGGTTGTGACACCATGTGGACTTGTGGGTATGTACCAACATTTTAGGGAAACACAATGTCTCCATGCTCAGGACTGACATTGGAGGCATGGGAAGTGGATAGTTTAAACATATAAAGTAAAAACAAATAGGACTAGGCTAGTGGGGAAATTGGCCAACAAAAATTGAGAAATGAGGAGATGATGTCTGGGTCAATACAAAGTTTTCATGAAAAGAACAAAGTGAGGCACTGGGTTGGGAAAGACAGACAGAGAGAAAATTTGGGGCCACGGTAGAGTTAAAAAAGGGACTTCAAGAACCCAAAGCCAGGCTAGGCAAGACCATGAATATGAGTAAAGGGTAGTCAGGAGAATGAAGGACAGTCATCAGACAGTGAACGGGTATATCTGGAATACAAAAAGGTATGTAGACCAGGTGATAAAAAGAAGAGTAAAAAAGGGGCTTGTTGGCGATAAGAATGGGAGAACAAAAGTGGGCTGCAAGTTCTAGAAAGGGCAAATTTTTATAGTAAGCTTCAGGGCGACAACTGTCATGGATTGTCCTCACAAGGACCACAAGAAGAGTAGGGATGTGCCCACCATTTTTTGGTGAGAGCCCACTTATGTTCCATGACATTTTCAGGGAGAAACCATATTTCCTATTCATGCTGCTGGAATTAAACTCAATTTATATCACTTTCCTGACTAAAACAACCAAAACAAAACTTCATGGAAGCTACAGAGATCAAGCTGCAACAAGTCACAGAGACCTCTCATTCATAACATGAAGAAATGTACACGGTCTCTCGCCAAGGACAACAAGAACAAGACACAACATCCCTACTCAGCTCTTGGTCCTTGTAAGGACCTTCCTTGTTAGTTGTCCCCCTGAGGCTTACTCTAAAACTCTGCCCTTTTCAAGTTTTGCTGTTCACTGTTGTTTCCCAACACTTATTAATGGCCACCCTCTTCTTTCTCTTCATTGTATTGTCCATTTCACCCGCCCTTCTACATACCTGATCCACCCATTCACTGTCTGCTGACTGTCCTTCACTCCCCTGACTACCCTTTTCTCTCATTCAATTTCCTGCCTAGCCTGGGTTTGGGTTCTTGAAATCCCTTCTTGAACTCTAAGCTCATCCCCTGGCCTAGTTCAGAATTTCACCTAGAGTCTATCATCTGGTTGGCCCCAGAAATGGCCGATATTTTTCACTCTCTCTCTTCTGATCCAGCCCCTCTCATTTTCTCTGCATGAAGGCTCGTTGTTAGCCCCGGCCGTCTCCTCCTCATTCCTCGATTCTTATTTGCTAATTTCTCCTCCAGCCTAGCCCTTCTTCTGATCATATTTAAACTGTCCACTTCCTATTACCCCCCCCCCCTTTCAGCCCTGAAGAGAGAGACAGCGTGTTTCTCCAAAATGTTGGTATCCACCTGTGAGTCCACACATCATTATGATTCAGAAGAATTACACTGACATCTACACCAATGTGAGATTCCAAATCTTACATAGCAAGTGCACGTTCCTTGCTATGGAATCCAATGTAAAGTTCTATGATCATCACCAAGGAATTTGACAAAATCCAGCCATTAGATCATGTCCTAAATCAGTTTTAATGTCCTTCCATAATATTCATTTCAATTTTTTCCTCTCATCTATATTTCTGTATTAAAAATTATTTTTTTCTGCACAGTTTTCAATCTTGTACTTTTTTGTGATTTATGCCATTATTCTTTGCTGAGTGTATTATTACCGTCTCAAAAAGACATCTAATCCATTCAGTTGGTTCTCTTACTTCACTGGAATATAAAGTTTTAGGTTATATTAATGTTCATACAGGATTTAATGAATCCAGTTTTGTTAGTATTTTTCAGACTTTCATATGATCAACTACAACTTGTTTTGGCTTACAGCCATCTGAAGGTATTTCATGAATATACTGAAATGTCAAATTAAAACACTAAATGCACTTTTGGCATAGAAGTATGGATCCATATTTGTGATTTAAGCGATCATTAAAATAATTACACAATCTGTGTGCAAGTTATTATCTGCCATTTGTATATAGTTAAGAAATAGGAATAATTATGTATAAATACGATAAAGTTATTTTTGTGCATGAGGTTGGTGGAAGGTGGATAACCCCAACCCTCATTACAGTGGGAAGAAAGAGGTTGAAGCGATTGGTTGGCTAGCCTCCATTTGGAAGGATTACCCCCAGTTGGTGTTCATAATTTCAGGAGCTGTACTCCTTTTACATACATACATCTTTATTACATTCCATGGGTGTGGAAAAAGTCATAATAATAATAACAATAAAATACATAATTATAAATATATATTAAATCTTGTCCGTCTAATCACAATAAATTCTTATTAAATATTAAAATATTACAATAATTAACATTTAAAATATTAAATGATGTTCTTTATCGAAATATTCGATTTACATTAGACCATCATTTTTCATGTTTCACGACATGTTTCAGTTCCTAAAAGAACCATCCTCAGGTGTATATAATATTCATTTAACCTTTATGTTATTTACATTACAGACTGATACAAAAACAACAAAACGTTCACCCACACTAAAGTCACATTGAGCATGATGTATATATACAGAACAACATCGAGT